ATATATATATATATACATTCTACTTTCAAGGGGACTGGTATCTGTATGATAATTTCAAATTAAACACATATGAAGTTTAGCATTTTCAAATGTCTTTTTTAAAGAAGAAAAAAACTTAATTGTATCAGGTTTTTACTTTTTCTGCAAATGAAATTTCATAATTTTTTTTACTGCATATAAGTGAATTAGATCTTTAAATTTTAGTATGCCAAAGGACTTGAATCTTTTAACGCCTGGATATGTTTAAATTTTGAAGTTACAATTCCAATTCTCTAAAAAAAATTAAAATCAGTTTGAAAAATAGTTATAAAAATGGTAGCGCTTGTTAAGGTGGTTTTTCAACGAATTTATTACTGCAAACAGCGAGCAATCTACAATTTGAGGGATACAGGTAGTGCTCACCCCTATTGTAGAATAACCTTTAAGTTAATTGTCAATTATCTTAGCCAATCTGTTCTATTGCATTTATAAAAATTGTTTTGTTTTTCTCTTTTTTTAATATAAACTTAACATTGATGATAGAAATAAATTCCCATTTTTTGTTATAAAATTTTGTATGTTTTGCACTAGCATGGCAAAAAAAATTTGAGTTTTATTTATAACTATTTGATTTTCAGAGTTATAACTAAGTTTTCATGACTGTAATATTTTGCAGATAATATAAGCAAGAAATAAGATAAACACTTGTTTTTTCTGTTAATAGCAATTTCTATCATGAAAATTAGTTCAGATCATCTGTGAGCTTTTTATTATGGACATTGTCCGAAATGCTTGTTTAGAAAAATGGACACAATTCTATATGGGTATTTAAGAAAATGAACTCAGCATTTGATTCTGATTTTAAAATTTACGTATGAAAATTATTTCTTTTTTAAATTACTAACTTTTGGATCTAATTTGTAATGAGATGTCATTCACGAATCCAAATTATTTAGCACATTTTTTTCTAATCAGTCTTTTTTTTTAAAAAAGTCAGCAAGTCTCTTTATAAGGTTGTTATGGGTCCTATAAATTTATAATGATAATAGTCATGTTTGAATTAATATTTTTCAAAACGACTTTATCATTTAGTGTACTGATTACATAGTGGTGTTTGAAAATTACCTCCGTTAATATACCTTGCTACCCCAACCCCGAATATCAGGGCATTGCCACTTAATAATTATGCTTAGTGTTTAAATAAGTAAGGAATAGAAAGAATGAAATTTCCTAATCAGATTTTTTTTCCGATTGATTATTGCAACGGTGCATTTTTTGCTGTGTCTGTCTTTCTAAACACACAATTCAAGCTATGCCTAGAATAAAAAGCTCACCGACGAGATGCTAAAATAATTTCTGGAAGTTTTGCTTTAGAAGCAGCAGCCTAAATATGCAGATATAGTTATAAAAACTATGTATTTTTAAAAAAGTAAATTTACACATTGATAAATTATTGAGACCATCGTTCCTTATAAATCTGATAAAAAAAATACTTATACTTTCACTTTTAATTATATCTCACCTATTAACTGATAAGATGAAAGAAATATAATAAATTAACTCACGTTCATTCTTGTATCTCAAATATAAACATTTTTAACCTCCCCCCTTAGAGGAATATTAATTATATTCTTTTCTTCCTGAATTAAATGTTGAGTGTAAAATAGAGTTTATAAATAACTGAATAATTTATTTCTCTCTCAAAGATAAGTTTAGGAGATCGGTAGACCGACAGCACGGGGATGGGGATGTCTTGTCTGACTTGATGAATGGGAAGATAAGGCAAAAGCTGAATGACATACCACAAAATGTCACTTGGGGTGGTAAGTATTACTTAAATTATCAAATGAAATTATATTATAAAAAAACTCTCATATAAAAAAAATCAATTGTACCTTTTATTTATAATTTTTGTATTTTTCATGTCTTAAATATTTGATTTTACTGGGTTTTAACTCTGTTAATTTGGGGTGGCTTTAGCTATCCATATTCAATATTTTTAGAGCAGTTCATCTCTACAGCAACTGAATGAATCGCTATATATTGAGTAAATAAAAAAAATAAAGCAGTGAATGAGAGGATCAAATTCTAAATAAATAAAGTTTTCAAACCTATATTTCATTGTCAAAGAGAAATAGAGTATACTTTGTGCTATTTATGAATAAAGCTTAACAATTGGAATAAAGCACAAATTAAAGCATAAAATGCTAATCACATTTTATCTTTTTACTTCTACTTTATTCTTATTTTTCAGCTCAATTTCTTGTAATTCAGCAGTTGTCAACTAAATTTTTTTTTATATTTTTAATATATTTCAGTTATGTTTTATTTTAATTTTAGAATTACTATTATATTTATATGCATGTGATCAGTTATGTGAAATTTATAATATTAAAGAACATCAAACTTACAATTCAGTATTCATTAATGCAGGTTAAAATTTATTAAATGGGTACTGATTTATGGTGTCAAAAATGAATTTAACTATATTAAGAATTATTGTTTTTAACAATTCCTTTTTTCAAAAATTTCATTTTAACAATCAAGATCATCTTATACCTTTTATTAGATAACATGATAATTTCCTTACCTAATGCTTATAGAATTAATATTATTTTTTAAACAGAAAACATGAACTAAAAACAATTGAAAAGTAACAACATCAGCTTAATGATTTTTTTTATAAATAGAATTATGTTATGTTAGCGATTAGAATTTCTATATTCATTTCACATTTCAACTTGGACTTTGCCTGAGTAACATTACTCTCTCCAAATACAAAGGTGCCAACCTAGGGTCACACTTTACCATTAGAAAGAAGAATATAATCATATAATACACTGAACAGATCTTCTTTCTTTGTACTGAGTTTTATTAACCACTTTTGGCAAATTTGCAACCCATTATAAGTATTGAATAGGACTTAAAAAACTGTATATTTTCCTTTTAATTTTAAAACTTTGATTTCTAATTTTCTTTCACTACCAATTTTATCCTTTTAATTAAATAGTTAAGTGTTTTTAGGCATGAAATAAATATATAATTAATATTTTCGTTGCCTTTCTCTTTAAAAATAAATTTATGTCATATACTCATTGTTACTTTTTACAGTTTTAACAAAGTTGTGTACTTAATTAATCATTTTCTATGTTAGGTCAGTCATCTGATGTTTTTAAAGCACTTTCAGAGGATTTTATGAAACCAGTGGTGTCCTCAGGTAATTAAATCTTAAATTTTCAAATTATACGTTTAGAGACAGCATTATCTTATGATTAAAAATTCTCAGAAAAAAAAACATTTGATGGTTGATTTAATTTTGGTTGATCAAAGAAAAGCGGATGTTATCGTGAGAGCACAAAAGTACCATTAAGTATATACTCATAACAGTGAAAAACTAGAATAATGTGAGTAAACAATGTTGTAATTTAACAGGGTTGCCACTCCACAGGGAGAACAATGAAAACCTGAAAAATATAGGAAATTTAAAAATCACCTAAAATAACAGGGGATTTTGATTTTTTCCTTATAAACTGCGAATATACAGGGAATTTTATTTCCTATTTTTGTCTTTTAAAAAATTATGACCACACAGAGCGTAATCTATAGGATATTTAACCATGATATTTCAGCTGTACTGAACTATTTCATTTATTATAGCATTATATAAGTATGTTCAGCTATTTTTCCAGCAATTAAAACTAATAAAAATAGTTAGCCCAATGTAAGAAATAGTTAACCCTTTGAAAATAAATTCAGATTGTGAATTCATTCTATTAACCTAATGAAACGTGATGTTGGTTGTATATGCTTTTGATTATCAAGTAATCTATGTGTCACTAATTTTTTGGCTATTGATCAGGACCACCATCTTGACATGATAGGAATCTAGGGGCATCTTGTTACTCTTTTTTCATTCAAAAACAATTCAAGATGCTTCGTATTGATGTGAGGCCATATAAAAAAAGATTTAGCTGTTTTAATAATTTCTAGCGGTTTTAATGACTTTTTAAAATTAAATGCAAAATTTCTGTTTTACCTGGCCAGTTCCAATTACCCGTTAAAATTTAGAATGATTACCCGGCCAGGTATCATAACATTTATGCAAAACAATATAAAAATTGTGTAATTTTCTATGAAACAAATAAGTTACAACATAAAGTTTTAAGGAGATTTATTGCGCACCTGTAAAAACATATGTCCTTATTTTTAACTTTTTTTTAAAAAACAGAGTTTTTAAAAAATTTTCAATAAGACATTTGGGATGACTTTTCGTATTTCATAACGATTACTGTAAAACTTTGCTATGAAGCACAGGTATCGGCTATTGACTTCATTAATTAATTTTTCATCAGATTTATAGGAGTTTTGAATAGAATTTATTTATAGAACTTTTTTTAGCCGTAAGATATTATAAAATATCTCAATAACACTTTAAAATGACAATATATTAAGTTCAAAATGTTTTATAACTGTATACGTTATTTATGTGCAGTGAGGTATACCTCAAACTCTTTGATGCACGGTGAAAAATTTTATTTTATCACCAAAGTTTAACAGAGGAATAAAATAGCGACTATAGTGTCCTTAACGATAGGATTTTTTCTCGATATCTCAGTAATTTTGAACCCCCAAAAGTTGAAATAATTTCTACATCAAGCAACAAACAAGGGGCAAATTTGTTTTTATGGAAAACGTTTTCTTTGAAACTAACTAGTAATTGTGTCACAAAAAAAAGAGATGAAAACATTTCATGGATAACACAATAAGCAAACTTTAACCAGACTGATTGAGAATTGTATTTATAAAGCTAACAAGTAAGAAAACCATTCTATTAAAAATTTAAAGTTATCAATGGTCAATTTTATTCATGCTGGCTTCTTTTAAGTATAAATGTTGAGCAACTTCTACTGAAAATGTGATAAAATGTCTCCAAATGAGTTTTTTGTTGAGTAATATAAAAAGAGGTTTTTTCTGTTTTTAAAATTAAAATCATCTGAAAATAATTTAAATAACTATTCTTTTAAGAAAATTATCTCGGTTTTAACATGACTTGTAATTTCTGGGAAATTAAATTACTAATAGTAAAAATAATTAGTCATTTGCAAGAAAATATCTATCTTCTGTTAGCAACTGCTTTCTATTATACGTACTTCTATAAAATGCTGTGTCTAAAAACGTAAATAATAAAACATATTATTACATTTATTTATTTGCTGAAAGCAAACTCAGGATGAGAATAATACACATATATCTTATTTTTCAACAGTTAAATTTAAATTTTAGTCATTGTGATTTTATTAACTTTTTAAAGATATTAATTCTCGTATTTATTTAACTACTAGATTAATTCAGCTAAAATAATTTTTAGCATTGTTTTCTGAACTTGCATGCCTTCTCAAGTAGACACTTCTCTTTAGTGAACATATATCTCCGCCCTAAAGTCCTCTTTACAAAGATTCATTAGATTTAAAATTATACCTAAACCANGCAATTTCAAATTAATATTGAAATGCACAGGTTTAGAATTTTCTACAGTGAGAAGTTTTCGGAACTTCAGTGTTAGTATACAAAAGCTAGACGTTAAGAACGTACCCAATGAGCGAGCATCGGATTGCGAAGCAATCCGAAATGAACTGCGAAAGCAGTTACGGGGGTTGACGAGCAGGGGGCGAAGCCTCCTAGAAAAATTATTATTTTCTTTGCTTTTCTTTTCAAAAATAAATTTATGTCATATACTTTTTACAGTTTTAACAAAGCTGTGTACTTAATTAATCATTTTCTATGTTAGGTCAATCATCTGAAGTTTTTAAAGCACTTTCAGGAGATTTTATGAAACCTGTGGTGTCCTCAGGTAATTAAGTCGTCAATTTTCAAATTATACGTTTAGTGACAGCATTATCTTATGACTAAAAATTCTCAGGAAAAAAAAAACATTTGATGTTGATTTAAATTTGATAGGATCAAAGAGAAGCGGATGTTATCGTGAGTGCACAAAAGTACCATTAAGTATTTACTCATAACTGTGAAAAACTAGAATAATGTGAGTAAACAATGTTATAATTTAACAGGGCTGCCACTCCACAGGGAGAACAATGAAAATCTGAAAAATATAGGAAATTTAAGAATCACCTAAAATAACAGGGGATTTTTATTTTTTCTATACAAACTGCGAACATACAGGGAATTTTATTTCCTATTTTTGTCTTTTGAAAAATGATGACCACACAAAGCGTAATCTATAGGATATTTAACCAAGATATTTCAGCTGTACTAAACTATTTCAATTATTATAGCATTATTTAAGTATGTTCAGCTATTTTTCCAGCAATTAAAACTAGTAAAAATAGTTAGCCCTATGAAAGAAATAGTTATCCCTTTGAAAAGAAATTCAGATCGTGAATTCATTCTATTAACATAATGAAACGTGATGTTGGTGCAATATATGCTTTTGATTATCAAGTAATCTATGTGTCACTAATTTTTTGGCCATTGATCAGGATCACCATCTTGACATGATAGGAATCTGGGGGCATCTTGTTACTCTTTTTTCATTCAAAAACAATTCAAGATGCTTCGTATTGATGTGAGGCAATATAAAAAAAAAGAAATAGCTGTTTTTATAATTTCTAGCTGTTTTAATGACTTTTTAAAATTAAATGCAAAATTTCAGTTTTACCTGGCCAGTTCCAATTACCCATTAAAATTTAGAATGATTACCCGGCCAAGTATCATAACATTTATGCAAAACAATATAAAAATTTTATAATTTTCTATGAAACAAATAAGTTACAACATGAAGTTTTAAGGAAATTTATTGCGCACCTGTTAAAACATATGTCCTTATTTTTAACTTTTTTTAAAAACTGAGTTTTTAAAAAAATTTTCAAAAAGAAATTTAGGATGACTTTTCGTATGCATAATGATTACTGTAAAACTTTGCTATGAAGTGCAGGTATCTGCTATTGACTTCATTAATTAATTTTTCATTAGATTTATAGGAGTTTTGAATAGAATTTATTTATAGAACTTTTTTTTGCCGTAAGATATTATAAAATATATCAATAACACTTTAAAATGACAATATATTAAATGCAAAATGTTTTATAACTGTATACGTTATTTATGTGCAGTGAGGTCTGCCTCATTATATCAGGATAGGTATTATAAAATATTTCAATAACACTTTAAAATGACAGAATATTAACTGAAAAATGTTTTATAACTGTATACGTAATTTATGTTCAGTCAGGTCTACCTCAAACTCTTTGATGCATGACGAAAAATTTTATTTTATCACCAAAGTTTAACAGAGGAGTAAAATAGTGATTATAGTGTCCTTAACGATAGGATTTTTTCTCGATATCTCAGTAATTTTGAGCCCCCAAAAGTTGAAATAATTTCTACATCAAGGTACAAACAAGTGGTAAATTTGTTTTTATGGAAAACGTTTTCTGTGAAACTAACTAATAATTGTGTTACAAAAAAAAGAAATGAAAACATTTCATGGATAACACAATAAGCAAACTTTAACCAGACTGGTTGAGAATTGTGTTTATAAGGCTAACAAGTAAGAAAACCATTCTACTAAAAATTTAAAGTTATCAATAGTCAATTTTATTCTTGCTGGCTTCTTTCAAATATAAATGTTAATCAACTTCTACTGAAAATGTGATAAAATGTCTCCAAATGAGTTTTTTGTTGAGTAATATAAAAAGAGGTTTTTTCGGTTTTTAAAATAGAAATCATCTAAAAAAAATTTAAATAACTATTCTTTTAAGAAAATTATCTCGGTTTTGACATGACTTGCAATTTCTGGGAAATTAAATTACAAATTGTAAAAATAATTAGTCATTTGCAAGAAAATATCTATTTTCTGTTACAAACTGCTTTCTATTATACGTACTTCTATAAAATGCTGTGTCTAAAAACGTAAATAATAAAACATATTATTACATTTATTTATTTGCTGAAAGCAAACTCAGGATGAGAATAATACACATATATCTTATTTTTCAACAGTTAAATTTAAATTTTAGTCATTGTGATTTTATTAACTTTTTAAAGATATTAATTCTCGTATTTATTTAACTACTAGATTAATTCAGCTAAAATAATTTTTAGCATTGTTTTCTGAACTTGCATGCCTTCTCAAGTAGACACTTCTCTTTAGTGAACATATATCTCCGCCCTAAAGTCCTCTTTACAAAGATTCATTAGATTTAAAATTATACCTAAACCAGTTATTTCTGCTTTATTGTTAAGAAACTGATGAAATACACGGATTTCTAAAACTACAATAATTTTTTATTATAAAGTTACTATTTCAGTAAAAAAAAAAATTTTTGAACATATCTATGACACCCCTCACTAGATACCTGTTACTGGTTCTGAAGACTAAAATCCCAGTACCAGGTCATGAAATTTATGTTACTGGATCTGAGTTAGGAAAATCTGACATCTCTTGTCATTATAATAATGTGTTTGTTATATTAGAGAGCTTAGTCTGTATTAACAAGTTAATGAAAGATAGGCTGAATACATTAGTTTACCACCTAAACATAAAAGGTACTAAAAATTATATCGTAAAAATTTCAGTTCGTGTGAGTTATGAGAAATAACTTTCTAAGCATTTGTTCATTTTCAATAAATGGATTTCAAGGTTTAAGGTCTAATTTAAGCTATTTTGTTTTCCAGTTAGTGAACTTCTTTCAAATGAAACCTATATTGATGTTAATGTTTACAATGGCCAGTTGGATCTTATGGTAGATACTCTAGGTATGATACTTTTAAAATATCTCTTAATAACATGCAATTAATAATTTTTCTTAAAATGATCGTTTGACACTGTCTTTTAATTTGTATTTTTAAATTTTTTGTTGACATCACAGGTACACTAGCATGGATTGAAAAGTTGAATTGGCCAGGCAATAAAAGTTTTATGGCTGCTCCGAAGAAACCTTTGACATTTCCCAATGATCATAGTGGAGGATTTGTAAAGACATTCAAGAAATTTAGCTTCTTTTGGATTTTAAAAGCTGGTCACGTGGTAAGTACATACTTATTTAGTTACGCAATTACTTTCAAGTAGAACTGGATGCGTAGCTAAATTATTCCACAAAAAATAAGCACCTTTTAAAGCCCTCAAAAATATTTTCAAGCACTTTAAAAAAATATCAGAATTAGGCATGGTTAGAAAGTTTTTGACAATTGACGGTCTTATTTTGTTTTAACTGTCATGTCAAAAAAAATTTGGCATTGTTTTTGACAATTGTCAAAAATCATAAAATTTAAAATCATGTAAAAACGAATGGCGTTTCCATGCGCTACGGACTGAAAATACGCTTAAATAAATTGGTGTTGAATTAATTGTGAAAACGTTGAAAAGAACAATGTGAACTGTGTCTTTTTACATAATTCGTAGCGAAAATCAACGTGGTAAAGGAAAAATCTAATTTGAAAAAGAAAAAATTAAGCACTTTTTAAAAACACCCAAAGAAAAAAGCACCTTTAAGGGCTTTTAAAATCGAAAATAAGCACCCTGTAGAATGAACATTATTAGTTTTTTACGTTAAATAAGTGTAAATTAAAGTTATAAAACGTTTCGAAGAACAATCCTCGATATTGATGAAACTTTCTGGTGAATTCCCAACGTTATTTGAGTAATCGTTTGAGTGAAATTATGATAATTAGTAATGAGTGAATTTTTCGGAAATCTCTGTTTACAAATCTTTTATGTTTGCCAATTAACAAGGGAAATACTCTAATGCTGCACTCAAATCATGATAAATTTTACCTTTCAACGTAGTACATAGTTAACTTATATTACTTCATTGTTATTAAGATAAACGTTTAATAATTAAATATTTACTGGAGATCATTTACTAGCCATATTTTTAACAGTAACTTAATTGCAATTGTTTTAATTTTTTAATTAATGTTCCACCATCACTATATTGCGAAAAAAAACTTGTTTTTATGATGTGTTCACGTAACAGAACTTGGCCATCATATTTAGTGTGATGTTATTGTCATCTCAAAGTTGATAATATAATTATTATTCCCTTTGTAGTTCGATACTCTATAATTTTTTTTTTATTTATTTATTATTTTGTGAAATTTTTGAAAACATTTTACAACACATGAGCTGAATTGAAATTATATTTTCAACTTCCAAAGACTTTTGTGTTGAATTATTTCCTTCAAGACCAGCAGAATAAAAAAGCGTTTCCTCAGGCCCGCATACTCTAAAAGTATATGAGCTAAAAAGGTACTAATATACAAAAGGTACAAACATACTAATATGAGTTCTATGATGAGTGTACCATATTGAGAACCTGTCTGTGTGACCTAGGGCCGCTCGAGTCAAAAAGGCTCGTTTTATTTAAATACTGTAGGTTGTGAAGGGAGAATCACGTATTTATGATCGCAGTCCTTAAAAGGGTTAAAAAACTCATTAGGGCTCAGCAAAATGGATATTACACACATCATATTACATTTGCATTTGAATATGAACTTATTTTTCAGGTTCCTTCAGATGCGCCAGAGTCTGCTCTCAAAATACTTGACATGATACTTAAAAAGAATAAGTAAATACCTACTGTACAAAAATAAAGCCTACTAGATCTTAGCGTAATGTCTCTCTAAAACATTATTGAATTCATATTTAATATTGGATATATATTCCCGCACTGGGGATCAGTATTCCTCACTCTTCATCCACTACTTACACACATGACCACATTCAGAGTAATTGTCTGTGTTACGAGACTCTATCAGAAAGTAAAATATTCTGTCGTTCTCTACTTCCACACTAAATACTAAATCTGACTCCAACTTTTATTAAAAAATAACAAAATTTAATTTACATAATAATTTTAAGACGATAATTTTTTGTTCTACAAAAAGAAGTAACGTTGCCATAGCAACTCGGCAGTTTTAAAAGAAATTAAAAAGTTAGCTTTTGGCTTACATAGAAAGTATTTAACAAATTTTAACATTCTCCCCCCTTCTGATTTCAAGAAAATCAAAATTGTAAATATCTTTAAAATCATTTATCTCTAAATTATGAAAATTCAAAGAAGTAAACAAATAATAATATCCAAAAAAAAAAAAATTGTCTATAACGTAATGATTTTACTAATGTCCTTCCACATCTNAAAAAAAAAAAAAAACTATTGTCAATAACGTAAAAGTTTCACTAATGTCCTTCCACATCTAGTTTTTAATGGCAAGTTATTGTCTTTTAATGTACACATATCAACATCTTCTGGTTTCGTTAATTCTGGAACGTTGGACTGATTTTCAAAAGTTTCATTAAATGACTTCTTAAACAGTGGATCATGATGGGATATCTCTAAGGGATAAATTTTTCGTACGCGTCTATTAACTTCTCCATTAGCTGTTTTTACTCTTACCACTCGAACATGGTTGTCTTTTCCAGGGAAGGGGGAGATGTTTTTCCCGAGGGCCAATCTATTCGTTTCTTATTGTTGTAGCATATCAAAACAACATCACCAGGCCTTAAATCTCGTATTAGATGGTTATTCTTGAGCGGGTTCTGGACCAAAAGACTAAAGTACTCGTCCCTGAACCATTTTCGAAAGAAGATTGTTGATATCTCCATCTTTTTGTGCTGCTAACAATATCTAGGGGGTCTAAATCAGGTACACCGATGGCTCGTATATTTTGAATGAAAATTGATGGGGGAAGTGGGAGTAAGTCCTTTGAATCTTCTGAAATGTAGGTAAGAGGCCTGCCGTTGATAACAGCTTCCACAACACACAAAATAGTTAACATTTCTTCATACATGAGACAGGCTTTTCCTAAAACTCTTCTTAGTAATCTTTTAATCATTTGAACGATTCTCTCCTACCACCCTCCCCACCATGCTGCAGTGGGTGGGTTGAATTTCCACTGTATCCTGAATATTGAAGCATCATTAATAATTTTCTCCCAATCATTTCATTTCAACAGATTATCCGTCGCAACGAAATTACTTCCATTGTTACTACACATTATTTTAGGCCGTCCTCGTCGAGCAATGAATCTCCTAAAACCTAACATGAAGCAGCTTGTTGACAGGATTTGAATGAGTTCCAGATGCACGGCTCGATATACGGCTCAAGTAAATAGGAGAATCCAAACTTTTTTGCCATCTTTCAAATGAACGGACCTGCTAAATTTACCCCAGAAACTTCACATACCAAGGTATCGCGAATTCTATCTTCTGGTAAGGGTGTTGGCACAGATTTCACTCCCCTTGAATCATGTCTCCTGCATCTAACACATTTCAAGATCACTCTTTGGATGGTTTTTCTCCCCCTCAAGATCCAAAATTGTTGTCGGATATCAGCCAACACAAATTGTACTCCAGCATGCAAAGACTTCAAGTGTCTCTCGAGTATCAATTTATACAGTCTCATGTTTTGAAGGTAGAACAATCGGGCACAAAAAATTATCATCATCATTTCTTCTGATAATTTTTGTCTTTAGTCTGCGAATATTGTCGTTGTCAATAAAACTGTAAAGAGTTTTAACATCTTCTTCCTTCAAAATGTTTCAAGTTGAACAAGCTTCATAAATTTTTTCTCCCCGATTCTAATTCATTCACTGAAAGAACTGCTTCTTTTTGTATTTTGCTTTTTCGGGTTTCATTGATAAATCAGTACATCCAAGCAAGCATTCTCAATATTTGTGAGCATTTAGACAAACGTCTGCAGTTCCATTGAACATCTGCATCATTACTAACAAGAGAAGAAATAATACTATTTCGTCCTTCTTTTAAAATATCCTCTTCTTCTTCATTGAATTCATTTTTTGACCGTTTTTCTACACGCAATTTTAACCATGATTGTCCCTCCCACCACTTTGATTTTTAGATGACTTTAGCGGAACAACCTTTGGAAGGTAAATCTACTGGGTTCTGCTCCCCGGGTTTGTGTCTCCATGAATTCTTTTCCGTTAATGATCGGATTTCTTTCACTCGATTTTTGACAAATACACCCTAGTGCTCTTCTCTCTTAATCCAGCAAAGACCTGTTGAAGAATCGATCCAATAAATGATAGGTACTTCTTTTAGATCCATCGCTTTTATTGTTAGCGAAGCAATACTTGCTCCAATGCAACAGGAAAGTATCTCCAACCGTGGTGGAGCTACTCTAATTTTGGCTTGTATAAAATGTAAGGACACTTTTTCTTCTTGGATTTTTCGAAAAAATATAACAGTGTTGTATGCGAGTTTACTGGCATCACAAAATACATGAATACTAAATTCAGTTTTAAAATCACTCATATCTGAGCATCTTGGAATTTTGACCTCATTCAATAAAGACAAATCGTCATGCCAGATCTCTAACTCTTTTCTGTAATTTTCTGGTAATTCTGTACCCCATCCTATTTTAAAAGTCCACGTGTGCTGTACTAAGATTTTAGGAGGTAGAGTGACTGGGCACAAAATACCAAGAGGATCAAAAATCTTTTGATCTGTAGACAAAACACATCTTTTTGTTAGGATAGGTTTCACTTTTTTAATATTGCTCAAATCGCAAAAGATGCTATCTTGCTGTTTGTCCCAGAGTAAGTAGGCTCTTAAGTAGGCTCTTCACCATAGGAATTGCCGTGTGAGTATTCCCATGCTCTGAGATCAAAACATGCACTGTGTAACAATTGGGTAGATTCCGAAATAAGTTTCCCAAGCTTGTGTTGACTAGGTACTGAAGGTATGGAATTGTCAACATAAAAAGACTTTTTTAAACAATCAGCAGTGTCTTTAATATCTGATGGACCTGCATCTAGAATTGCATTTATTACTGCAGACGAAAGGAAAGGACTACGCGTGAGTCCAAAAATAACTCTCTTGTGTCTAAAAATCTTAAATTTTTTCTTCTCAAAATCTTCCCACCAGAGGAAACGAAGGAAGTCTCGATCTTCGTTAACAACGGAAAATTGCAGGAAGCTCTTTTTAATGTCTGATACCACACCAATGCTGTCCATCCAAAATCTCATTAATAATGTTGGTATTTCTTCTAAAAGATTAGGTGTCCTTTTTCAAGACAGTCATTCAGCGAAGGAAAACCTTTTTCATGTGAAGAGGTATCAAAAACTGACCTGATACGAGTTGTAGAATGTTCCTTAAAAACTCCTCTGTGTGGTAGGTAGTGAGAAGCTTCCCCGATTTCAGATTCTGGCATCACTTCGATTATTTTAAAGTCTTCCCATTCCTTAAAAACTGCATCATAATCTTCGTATCTGCCTTCAGCTTTGAGCTTCATTGAAGTTGAAATGAATCTTCTTTCAGCAGCGGACTTATTCATCTGGAGATAATCTTTCCAGCCATGGCAAATGAACTTCGTAACGTCCATTTTTATTCTTCGTGACTGTTTTCTGAAAATAATAAAATGTTGCTATTTCTAACTCTTTTCTCGACTTGGTCTCTATAGGATCTCTTATACCTAAAATGTCAGTATCCCATAGTTTTGTTATGCTGCAGTTCTGAGAAAGGAGTGAATTTATGATGAGGCTTGCAAATCCATTTTCTGTTTCTTTCGGAACTCTCCCCATAATGATCCAGTTTAACTTTGTTTCTATAGTCGTTAAACCACATTCCAGTTCATACATGTTTCCAGTAAAAAGTTGTCCACAAATGTCAGCTCCAAAGAGTAATTTAATTTCCGGTTGACATTCACCGTAATCTGTTATCCAAATTTTCAGGCTTTTCAGCTCTTTCAACCAAGGTCCCTTTCGTAGTCTTGGCAAATTTCCGCAAATAACATTTTGATCCAGAACTTGAAAAGTACAGTTGTAATTATCTTTCAAGTCTGCAACTGTTATGTTGTAGCATTTGTGAGATTGATTNATAACGTAAAAGTTTCACTAATGTCCTTCCACATCTAGTTTTTAATGGCAAGTTATTGTCTTTTAATGTACACATATCAACATCTTCTGGTTTCGTTAATTCTGGAACGTTGGACTGATTTTCAAAAGTGTCATTAAATGACTTCTTAAACAGTGGATCATGATGGGATATCTCTAAGGGATAAATTTTTTGTACACGTCTATCAACTTCTCCATTAGCCGTTTTTACTCTTACCACTCGAACATGATTGTCTTTTCCTGGGAATGTGGAGACGTTTCTTCCCAAGGGCAAATCTATTCGTTTCTTATTGTCGTAGCATATCAAAACAACATCACCAGGCTTTAAATCTCGTATTAGATGTTTATTCTTGAGCGAGTTCTGGACAAAAAAGACTAAAGTACTCGTCCCTGAACCCTTTTCGAAAGGAGTCTCTTAAAGATTGCTGATATCTCCTTCTTTTTGTGCTGTTAACAGTATCTAGGTGTTCTAAATCAGGTACACCGATGGCTCGTATATTTTGAATGAAAATTGATGGGGTGAGTGGGAGTAAGTCCTTTGAATCTTCTGAAATGTAAGTAAGAGGCCTGCCGTTGATGACAGCTTCCACAACGCACAAAATAGTTAACATTTCTTCATACATGAGACAGGTTTTTCCTAAAACTCTTCTTAGTAATCATTTGAACGATTCTCTCTTACCACCCACCCCACCATGCTGCAGTGGGTGGGTTGAATTTCCACTGTGTCCAGAATATTGAAGCACATTATGATTGAAGCACATTATGAACATTAATGATTTTCTACCAATCATTTCATTTCAAAAGATTATCCGTTACGACGAAATTACTTCTATTGTTACTATACATTATTTTAGGCCGTCCTCGTCGAGCAATGAATCTCCTAAAACCTAACATGAAGCAGCTTGTTGACAGGATTTGAATGAGTTCCAGATGCACGGCTCGATATACGGCTCAAGTAAATAGGAGAATCCAAACTTTTTTGCCATCTTTCAAATGAATGGACCTGCTAAATCTACCCCAGAAACTTCAAATACCAAGGTATCGCGAATTCTATCTTCTGGTAAGGGTGTTGGCACAGATTCCACTCTCCTTGAATTATGTCTCCTGCATCGAACACATTTCAAGATCACTCTTTGGATGGTTTTTCTCCCCCTCAAGATCAATAATTGTTGTCGGATATCAGCCAACACAAATTGTACTCCAGCATGTAAAGACTTCAAGTGTCTCTCGAGTATCAATTTATAAACAGTCTCATGTTTTGAAGGAAGAAAAATCGGGCACAAAAAATTATCATCATCATTTCTTCTGGAAATTTTTGTCTTTAGTCTGCGAATATCGTCGTTGTCAATAAAACTACAAAGAGTTTTTACATCTTCTTCCCTCAAAATGTTTCAAGTTGAACAAGCTTCATTAATTTTTTCTCTCCCGATTCTAATTCATTCACTGAAAGAACTCCTTTTTGTATTTTGCTTTTTCAGGTATTATTGATAAATCAGTACATCCAAGCAAGCATTCTCAATATTTGTGAGCACTTAGAAAAACGTCTGCAGTACCATTGAACATCTGCATCATTACTAACAAGAGAAGAAATAATACTATTTCGTCCTTTTAAAATATCCTCTTCTTCTTCATTGAATTCATTTTTTGGCCAATTCTTCCACACGTAATTTTAACCATGATGGTCCCTCCCACCACCTTGATTTTTAGATGACTTTAGTGGAACAACCTTTGGAAGGTAAGTCTGCTGGGTTCTGCTCCCCGGGTTTGTGTCTCCGTGAATTCTTTTCCGTTAATGATCCGATTTCTTTCACTCGATTTTTGACAAATACACCCCAGTGCTCTTCACTCTTAATCCAGCAAAGACCTGTTGAAGAATCGATCCAATAAATGATAAGTACTTCTTTTAGATCCATCGCTTTTATTGCTAGTGAAGCAAGACGTGATCCAATGCAACAGGCAAGTATCTCCAACCGTGGAATAGTCATCTTGTGTAGTGAAGCTACTCTAATTTTGGCTTGTATAAAATGTAAGGACACTTTTTCTTCTTGTATCTTTCGAAGGAATATAACTGTGTTGTATGCGAGTTTACTGGCATCAGAAAATACATGAATACTAAATTCAGTTTTAAAATCACTCATACCTGAGCATCTTGGAATTTTGACCTCAATCAATAAGGACAAATCGTCATGCCAGGTCTCTAACTCTTTTCGGTAAATTTCTGGTAATTCTGTATCCTATCCTATTTTAAGAGTCCACGTGTACTGTACTATGATTTTAGGAGGTAGAGTGACTGGGCACAAAATACCAAAATGATCAAAAATCTTTTGATCTGTAGACAAAACACGTCTTCTTGTAAGGATAGGTTTCACTTCTTTAATATTGCTCAAATCGCAAAGGATGCTATCATGCTGTTTGTCCCAGAGTAAGTAGGCTCTTGAGTAGGCTCTTCACCATAGGAATTGCCGTGCGAGTATTCCCATCCTCTGAGATCAAAACATGCACCATGTAGCAATTGGGTAGATTCTGGAATAAGTTTCTCAAGCTTGCGTTGACTAGGTACTGAAGTTATGGAATTGTCAACATAAAAAGACTTTTTTAAACAATCAGCAGTGTCTTTAATATCTGATGGACCTGCTTCTAGAATTGCATTTATTACTGCAGACGAAAGGAAAGGACTACGCGTGAGTCCAAAAATAACTCTCTTGTGTCTAAAAATCTTAAATTTTATCTTCTCAAAATCTTCCCAACAGAGGAAACGAAGGAAGTCTCGATCTTCGTTAACAACGGAAATTTGCAGGAAGCTCTTTTTAATGTCTGATACCACACCAATGCTGTCCATCCGAAATCTCATTAATAATGGTGGTATTTCTTCTAAAAGCTTAGGTGTCCTTTTTCAAGACAGTCATTCAGCGAAGGAAAACCTTTTTCATGTGAAGAGGCATCAAAAACTGACCTTATACGAGTTGTAGAATGTTCCTTAAAAACTCCTCTGTGAGGTAGGTAGTGAGAAGCTTCCCCGATTTCAGATTCTGGCATCACTTCGATTATTTTAAAGTCTTCCCATTCCTTTAAAAGCTGCATCATAATCTTCGTATCTGCCTTTGAGCTTCATTGAGCTTTGAGCTTCGTTTGAGCTTCATTGAAGTTGAAATGAATCTTCTTTCAGCAGCTGACTTATTTTGCTAGAGATAATCTTTCCAGCCATGGCAAATGAACTTCGTAACGTCCATTTTTATTCTTCGTGACTGTTTTCTGAAAATAATGAAATGTTGCTATTTCTAACTCTTTTCTCGACTTTGTCTCTGTAGGATCTCTTATACCTAAAATGTCAGTATCCCATAGTTTTGTTATGCTGCAGTTCTGAGAAAGGAGTGAATTTATGATGAGGCTTGCAAATCCATTTTCTGTTTCTTTTGGAACTCTCCCCATAATGATCCAGTTAAATTTTGTTTCTGTAGTCGTTAAACCTCATTCCAGTTCACACATGTTTCCAGTAAAAAGTTATCCACAAATGTCAGCTCCAATGAGTAATTTAATTTCCGGTTGGCATTCACCGTAATCAGTTTTCCAAATTTTCAGGCTTTTCAGCTCTTTCTAGCAAGGTCCTTTTCGTAGTCTTGGCAAATTTCCGCAAATAGCATTTTGATCCAGAACTTGAAAAGTACAGTTGTAATTATCTTTCAAGTCTGCAACTGTTATGTTCTAGCATTTGTGAGATTCATTCTGTATAGTGGAACCTCCGAATAAAATATGAATAAAATCTTTTGAGCCTTTTTTCACACAACCCATTTTATGGACAGTTTTTTTTAGAATGTACGACTGCTGTGAGCCACTGCCAACAATCGCACGAACAGTCCGTTCTTTGGTGTTTGATTTTAACTTCACTAATAAAGTTTGTGAAAGAACCTCTCCAGAACAGCTATTACTAGATAAACAAGTTTTTCCGTTGTCATTTCTCTGTACTTCTTTTTACTTCTGGTTGATTTTGAGTTCAGCGCACATCACAGTCCAATGTTTTTTTCCACAATTGATGCACTTTACAAATGTTTTACACGCTTTTAGACGGTGTCCTACCTTAAGGCAGCAAAAACAAGCTTTTTCTTGTTTTATCTTTTCTAGTTTTTCTTCATAAGACTTCCTAGATGCCAAAAAACAATCTTTACTTTCATGTACTTTTTGGCAGCAAATACAATTGGCAAACGTTTCTTTTTTCTGGTAACCAGAAAATAAATCGTTTGCAGTCGGTACTACTTTATCATGCGCATTTGGCGATATTTTGTTTTTCGTTAATTTAGGCTTCTTGAAGTCAAATCCACCAACAGCCATTGAAATTCTCTGTTCCCTTTCTACCTCACTTCTCATAAATGACATCAGACAATCAAGTCTATCTTTCGAAGTGTCTTAAATTTTCGTCTGTCTTTGCCACACTCTAAGAAGCTCCTCAGGAATACATGACTCCACTAACGGGAATAAAATTGCATCATACATT